CTTCCCACAGGGCAGTACAAGCCTTCGCCGCAGCTCACACAAACCCCCAGCGACGCTTCGATCAAGCCTTGCTTGCACACGCAGTCTTCCCTTCTGCTTGCAGCGAGCAGCCGGGTCGTGCGGACCTCGTCGCAGCTGGTGCAGCCGGTCTGGCCCTCCGAGGTTTGGTACGATCCCTGTTGGCACACGTTGCATGTCGCTCTGCCATCAGTGTCGGTGTAACTCCCAGGTTGACATGGCGTGCAGCTGGTCGCTGCGCTCTTTTCCTGAGAAGTTCCCGGGGCGCACGGGACACAGAGACGGGTGGCTCCTGTGATGTCAAGGTATTCCTGCGAGAACTTTCCTGGGGCGCACACTTCGCAGCTTGTTGCGTTCGCCCTGTCCATCACAAAGTTGCCTGCAGCATCAGCTAAACCAAAGCCGGTGATGCAATTGGTTTCGATCGGAAGCCACTCTTGCCACCTCTGTTTGTTGTCTCGCACCCACCGGCATGCAACATCATAACGCAATGTCCCAGCAGCGATGGTCAGCAGAAGATCCATGAGCTCGGCGAGTTCAAAGTTCACGCCGGCAATGAAGCTGCTGACCTTGGGTGCCTGGTTTGCGAAATTGCTGCTGACTGCCTTGCTGATGTAGGTTCCAGTTGCTGCCGTCCTCATGTTGCCCAGCGCCCACTCCGTGGCCGAGTAGGGTGGGAACGTGATGGACTGGGGCTGCTGCGTGATGAATGTTGCGTCCGGCACCCACCAGTAGTACAGGCTGCGTGTAGTGGAAACAATCGAAACGTAGTTGCCCCAGGAGTTGGCCACGGCGATTGCCGCTGGAAAGCCGTAGGTCGTCGACCAGAACATCATGGCCTGGAGCTTCCACCCGCTACCTGCAGTAATCACCGGAATGCAGGTTGATGTATCACTTCGGCACTGGGGCGATATCCACCACTTGCCTGCATGACACTTGGCCGCATAGTTGCCATTCGCTAGCACCTGAACTCCTGCAGCATCACCTGTCCATGTGGCATAAGCTGCCATCGCCTCCGGCTTGTAGAAATCGGTTTCCTCGCAAAGGAACAGGTCTGCCAAGCTTATGGTGTCGATGCTGTCAAAGTACTGCTTGGGGTTATGGTGCGTCAGATTGTAGCCTCGGTAGAAGTCCAAGGTCAAGCCCTCGGCGTCCAGTGCTTGCTGGAGAACATCCTTGTTGAGGTACATCGACTCTTCGCCTTCGTATCCCATGCTGCCCAAATCCACGGGTATCAAGTGCGGGAATGTCTCCTTCATGTCTTCCACTACTGAAGCATAGGTGGCCGACCAGCAGTCTACACAAACATGGAGTCGGGTCTCGTTGATGCCACATTGTTGATTTGTAGCATTGTTGAAATCCAAACACCCAGCTAGGGCATAAGGCGTGACGACTGCACTACGTCCATCCGCCGGATGGATCCATGTATGGTAGCCCAACACTTCCTCAACCAGGATTCGGGCAATGTCCGATGTCAGGTAGGCTGACTCCCATGCGCCTTGGAAGAATCCAATGGGGATGTCCGCGCCATCACGGGTTTTGATCAAGGCGCGCTGAACCTCAGGAATTGCTTCAGGCAGGCACGATGTAGAAGCACTGCTTCTCGCCAGCAGACATACCGTGACCCGGAAGAACAGCCCACAAAGGAACGTCATGACCTCATGGCTTGGATGATGTAGGCCAAAACGGCAAAGCTAAACGCTTGAGCAGCAAGTAGTTGAAGTGGTGCCGGCTTCACAGATTAACATCCACGAGTAAGCAAACGCTCGACAGCCATGCCTGCAGTCGCCAGTGCCCGCGCAAGCAGGGCAGGCGTCGCGGCACCTGTTTTTGCACAACAGTCGTCCATCCTCGTGTGTGATTGAGGGGGACCTGTTTGTTTGGTTTGAGCATCTGCCCCACCTCACAGCAGACGCGAGTGCCCTCCCCCTTCCTCCCCTAATCCACCTCGTCTTTCTCCTCCTCCCAAGCGACCTTGCTGGCAATTAGCGTAACTGAGCATTACCGGTTGCAGCGGCAAGCCGAGGCGGGCGGCGAAGCGTTAAAATTGTAGATGATCACTCTGGTGCCTTCTCCCTTCCAACTTCGAAGGTTGCCATTGGTATAAACATGTGCTACCAGTAGCACGGAAAGCAACATCGAGAATCAAGCACTCTGCCCTCGCAGCAAGCATTTAAATTCGTGCTGCTCCGCCTCCCTGGGACAGCTGGTGCCTTCCTGGACATACTTTCACGCTCCTGCACATCCTTTGGTGTTGCACCGTCCGCTCAAACTCGAAGTGAAATGCACCAGCTTCGACATAAGATGTTAGCTGATGCAGCCGGTTTTTGCAAACTTGTCAGTAAGTCAACCATGGCCACCCTGAATGGATCTGCCACCTCTTCTCCGCAAGGAGCAGAAGCTTGCTGGACCCGCGAAGTTGATGGCTCCTGGATCATTGCACATGTCACCACTGGTGCTCGCGTGCTGCGGCAAGCGCCATAGTTCAACACCTTGAGAATTACTACACTTCCCGTGTGAAGCAATTTGGGATGCCTCGCCATTATCTTCGTTCGTCTGGCCTTGGATCCCTCAACTCCTTCAGCATCTCTCGGCGATTGGCTGCGGGCCTCGACGTCTGTCCGGCACTGCTGCAGCAGATCTATCACCGAGCTGAATCAACTGCTATAGAAACATTCAAGGTCTCCACGCATCAACTGCACCTGTCTGAGCACATTCAGGGGCAAAAACGTGTCGTTGGAAGTTCATTCCCCTCCCTGCCCTCCCCCTCCCATTCGTTTGACAAGAAAGCTGTGAGTGTGGCCCCTCTCCAAGTACATGCCGACTATTGATTCAGCCACATCGTATAGCAGCATTGCAATTTGGGCAGCGGTCCACTTGTTCTGCTTGCTGCTAAAAACACTGCGGACACACACACACACACATATACACACATGTGCACTCTGTCTGGTGGCGGATCTTGAACGTGGCAGCTCGTGCTCGTGCTATCGACCGTCGCAGGATTGCAAACTCGCTCGCAAGTTGCGTCATCCTGGTGCGAGCCCGATTCTGACTTTGTATCGCCGAGGCGGTGGGAACTCTCTGTGCCAAACGGTTCCTACATGATATCGAACATGGAAGCTTTGGCTGACCTCCTCGAGACAGCTGCAGGTCTGACATTCCCTGTGCGCACGAGACCACGGGTTGCAACGGTTTCACGCCCGTCGCGGGCTGTGATATAGAGGCCCCAGATTAAGGCTAAGCTTGAAGAAAGAGGATCGTGGAATGCACCTGCCAGTAGCTCACTGTTCAAGACTCCCTTCCCCGTGGCAAGATCCTAAAGTTACAGAGAGGAGCCATCCATGGGTGTGACGCTCGAGCCAGTGTCGCAACAGCCAGGATTAAGCTTTCACTTGAGAAGCAAGCGCCGTTTCCGGATTCTCTGTTCTTGCGCAAGCATACTAGTAATAAGAGGGGAACCCGGGGCTGTAGGGATACATACAAGCATCCCTTGTGTCAGGGCATGCAAGCAGCCAAGCCAAGGTGTTGTACCCCCGAGGTCATTAGTCTATATTCGCTCACACAACGCCTACATGCAGCTGCAGCACCGCACGCCGACCCTCTGGGCCTTTGTCCTGCGACCGCATGCTTCGGCTCGGGCATACCGACGCATAAACGGGCATGTTGCCCAGCGTCGCGCTTCCGACAACCGATCTCGAAGAGCATGAATGTGAGATTCATTTGGCAGTTGATTGGAGCGGAGATTGTGGTATCCGGCTACTTGCTGAAACCCTGTCGAGTTTCGAATATGGTGGTGCATGACGGGGGCAAGAAACCCCAGTTTCACTGTGATGCTGCTTGCCCGCTAGCAGTTTCTAACCGATGGCTGCTTCACGAAGCGGTTGTTAGAAGTTGGCTCTTGATCGGAATATGACTGCAGGACTAAAGGTGATCAGCGGGCGAGGCATTCAATCAGAGTCTTGTAGGTCACCACCTCGCGCCCCTGGCACGCAGATGCATTTATCATATGTCACCGCTGCTCTCGTGACATTTTGAGTCTGTCTGGACGACTGAGGACGACTGCCTGGTGTAGAGGGGGCTGAAACGACCGGCACCCGAAGCCCAGAAACTCTCTGTCAAAGGGTGCCGGACTTGCAAAGCAGCGGCCCCAGCCCCTTTACAGCGGCAGTGCCGCTCTGCCACGGCTGTCAAGACTGCAGGCTTTCAATATAATTCTTGCGCCTCTGAAGTTAAATTCTGCAGGAGTTTGAAACCAGCACCTCAGAATCAGATCAAAAACCAGCAACCTGATGTCTTTGCTCAGAAGCACTGACTCCCTATCTCCACTTGCTAGTAGTCTGACTCTCCGCAGCCGCACCTCGGGATGCTGGATCAATCCTTTGAGGGCGCACCTGGAGTGTGGCTTGCTAGCAGTTGTCATCTTTCCGGCACAGTTGGAACATTGCGGCAACGACGGTACGAGTTACATAAACCCGTGGCCACAAACAAAGACAAACAGTCGCTGGCGGCCCGGCACGGCGCACTCTCGGATGTCGTCGTTGTGGCGCCGAGTCCCCTAGCAACTTGCAGCTCGCAACAGATCTGCAAAAGCTGCTTGTGCCCCTGGTCTCGTTACCAAGCGCATGGCCGGGGAATGTCGGATGGACAGGTTCAGCAGTGCTGTCTAAGTCTTGCCGGATCTGTGGATCTGTGGAAGGGCTCAGCAATGTGGCCATTCCATGTGGGAGTTCTTCGCAGGTGTCTTCGTGAATCGGCAGCCTGCGCAGCATCGCGCCTCGAGGATGACGCTCACCAGGCCCTCGCTAATGAGGTGGGCTCGTGACCTTGAGACTAGGGCGACTAGGGGTATCTTCGATGTCTTCTGCAGACGACATAGACGACCGGCGCATGCAAAGCATGAGCTTGCGTGACTGCTCTGCATGGCTTTGAGATGCTTTGAGGAGCCCTGAGCGCAGTCCGAATAGTATGTTGTTGCTGGTGCCTCATGCCTGCGACATGTTGCTCTCAGGCAGCAGCTCCTGTTCTGTGCCCATCATTCTACCCACGATGGCAAGCACCTGTGGGCGGTCGGTGCTTGCCACACAACGACGCCTCAATTAGGAAAAGTTAGGAAAGCCAGGCCACAACCGACCTACGCAAGATGTCGGGTGCTATGCAGCCGGTTCAAGAACCTCGCATAGAAGAGTATGAATTTGCTTCTCCGTCCCATGGATATCGATCCTGATGTTGCCTGCAGAACCCAGGCACTTACTTACACAAACCCAGGCACCTTGAGTGACAGAATATTGCGCAAATCATACACTCGACAGTACATGAACGGTAAACTCCGAGAAGGCCTAAACAATAACCTAACTTCAACTCGAGCCCCGGCCCAGTATCGGCAGGGGTACTCCTCACCATCCTCCTGACAAGCAGAGTAAGTCGAGCACTGTAGCATGACATACCTGAGCTTAGTGGGCGAGATAGAAATGTCGGGAAGATCATGAATGCAGGGGTTGTCGAGCGAAGTCCTCACAAGTGCGCGTGTAGAGACAACTGTGAAGCAATGAAGCAGGAGGGAGGGAGAGAGAGAGAGAGAGAGAGAGAGACAGAGCGAGAGAGCGAGAGAGGGGGGCCTACAAGCGAAGAACCGCCGAGGGATCTCCTTGAATTGAGGCAGATCCAACCATCTGTCAAAACAAGCATTACGTGGACTCATGGCTAGGGTCGTTACTCTGTCCGACGAAGGCTGTGAGGGAGTGAGGAGGGAGCCAGGAAGGAATGCGAAACTGAGGAGAGGAAAGACAGGCCAAACAAAGGAAGAGTCGAAGAAGTGGGAAGGAAGATTACCAAAATACCAACACATCAAGGATGCTTGCAACAAGTGGGCAACTTTATTTACATCAACAAAAAACCGAGCATGCAAAAAGGAAATGCTGAGTTGCAACACTGCACTGTGCAATGCGGCAGAGTCCTAAGTGCGAATGCGCAAGACATGCGCTGCAGCACATCATTTAGACGTCAAGTTGGAGCAAAAGTGCAGAAGGTAGGGTCTGGGGTATGTATTGGCATGCATGCGGTGAGGTGTTGTGTATAGTTGAGGTATTTTGTGGTGTTGTAAAGCTCTAAAGCACGACGCAGTGACTCGATGTTAGAATCATGTGTCATGTGTGCAGACTGCACGTGGCATCGCAAGAAGCATCCTGCGCTTCCGAAGTTTCGTCTTGCCAGAGTTCCAGGAGCTTCTGCGCTCCACCTACCTCGGCCAAAGCAAGACTTAGCTTGGTGAACCTTTTGCCTCCTGCATTGCTGAGGGAGTCGCTAGGCAGGGAGATGTGTCACATTGTGTCACATACAAGTAACTCCGCACGAACGACCGCAACATACAACAACGAATCCACTATGCTTCCACCAATGAACTTATGACTGGGTGAGTTTGTTGCTCATTTACCAAGATTTGGACCCCCATATCGCAAGCCACAGCAAGCACGTCAGGATCTGACAGTGACAACAATGATAGCCATCAAAGTCTGCAAAGTTTGAGAGTGCAGCAGTTTGCTGCATCACACAAGAACTTGCGCAACGCAGTCATGCTCGGCGTTGCGGCAGCTCTTATACGAGCGAGTCCGTGTGCATCGGACATCACCATTTGGTCGGAGGAAATCAGGCCAAGCTGGACTAGACTGAGTTCGGCACTTTGATGAGGCCGCGCTGCCACACCGGACTGTCCCTCCGATTGCTATTGATCCAGTTGTAAACCACCTCAGCAGTCACTTCAGCTGGCATGTTGGGATGCAGCCTGCACCAGAGCCTCTAATTCGCCAGCCAGTTAGTTGAACCACCATCGTCAATGTCAAGATACCTCCACGATCGTCGCCATCTTACCCGCTGCCATCTTCATCCTCATGATCGTCTGTGCATCCGCAGCAAAACATCATCAGCACCAGACTTAATTTGACAGTGGCTTGTCGCGTCTTCGTACTATTTTGTCTCTGGCGTTGTGCATGACTCAGGCTGACGGTGAATCTGTCAAGCCATTGGCTTGGTTTCTGCTCTGCGCGTGGTCTTGCCCGACTGTTCTTGCTCTTGGCTGCGACCCGCCCATTGCCGGCTGCCCTCCAGCTTGAGTCGTCGAATTCTGAGGTCGTCGCGCTCAGAACGGAGTTCTTCGGTGCTAGCTTCTGCTCACAGACCTCGGCTCTCCGCCCATCATCCATGTGATTCCCTTCGCAAGAGCGGACTGCTGTCGTGTCGGGTAAATATTATATATGACAAGCATTACAACGTTGCCTGTCCATGGACGAGCCTTTGCCACAGCTGGGGCGAGATCGTAGTGCAATAGCTTGAACATTTCGCGGCAGGCATCCTTGCCCGGACAAGCTTGGAAGAAGGAGTCAGGGTTTGCATTTCGGCTTGATGCACTATGCTCCCGCTAGCACAAGCCAAGCTGCTATGATCTGTCATGTATTGCAGATTGAGGCGTGTCACAGGCTAGGCTACAAGCTACCAAACATGCAACCCGGAATTCGCAACAGATGGTAGCCGCCCGTAAAACAAGATTTCGGCCTGAGGCACCATACAGAGTCATGCTCGAGCCTGCCCCAGGCCCCACGTCCCCCCACTAGTGCATTTACGCTGACACTCTTGTCGCTGGTAAGAATGTTGCTGGTACAGTATGTATGATTTACGATACTGACCGAGAGGATTCTAACTACTCCTCGCATCCTTGCTCTGAGTCTCCTCCTCTGTCGGTGGAGGATATCGCTTCGTGTTGCGCAATGGAAACCTCAGCTCAAGTCATACCCCGGCAGGGTCCTAAGAGATAACTGAAACAATATCTAAACTAAACTTATCTAAACTCTCCAACACCGCTGTAGGAACTTTAGGTTTCAGGGAACCCGCAGGACTCTGGTGCATCATATATAGCAGCCAGGTTGATGAGATGATGGTATCAGTGGAGGACATGAAACGGGCTCTCTCCTGGATCCTAGACCGCCGAGCGGGGACCTGAAACGCAAATCTCGAGAGTCTGATCCTTTTTTTTGCATCTGGTTAGAGTCTGATCCTGATTGTGAAGACCTCCGAATATGGTACCCATTATTTCCTGAAATCCCATCCAGAGTCTAGAGTCATTTTTAGAGGTCTCCTAAAGCCTCAGGTACACTGTTTGCTGACAAGCGACTCTACAGGAGGCAGCGGGTAGGCGAAGCCCACCTTGGTTCGTCATGCGCTGAGGGGCCGGTAGCTGGAGTCTTCAGCCAGACCGACCAAGTTTTTCGCAACAGGCACAAGCCAGTCATTTTTCACAAAGGGCTTGACTATCCTTTGCAGCAGGCTTGCCTCGTCGCTCGGGAACTCCCTCTGCCCAGAACGTGTGCAGTTGAGTTCTTACGCGTGAATCTTCCCCGACTGTCCACGCTGAGGACTGCCACATTGTCTGGATCGGGCTCTTCACGGGCTGGCAGGCTTATCTCCTTGCAGAGCACGCTTTCGGTACCCGGACTTCCTCTAACAATTTGCCGCCAGCACAGAATCTCCGGAGCTGCTGCGAAGGCCAAAGCCGCTCCTCATCTGGGCCCAGCACGATGGAGCTGTGATATCTACCTGCCGGCTCCCCATCGTGTTGTGCAGCTCGTGCATTTTTCTGTGCCATCGTGCCCTCGCTTGCTTGCCGTAGTCATGCATCGGACACTTAGATCATGAGAACGCCGAACAGTTCAGCATTTCTGAACTGGCACATTCGCTTCTTATGCTTCATGGCATCCTGGAAGTGAAACGTGGCAGCAGCACCCCAGCCCTCCCACATCTTCAGGTGCTTCAGCACCTGAAGGACGGGCCGCAAATACAATGTCGCACATGGTGTCTTGACAACGAGGTGTTTGTATGATGTGTTTGTATCGGACTAAGTTTGGAGCCATGTATTTGTCCAAAGCAATCAATCACATGTCTGTCTGCACTCCGTGGATGACAGCCGGCTGCATCAGCAGACTGTGTGTAAGCTTGTGATGTTCTGTCGGAAGTCGCGGGTTGTGTAGTACTGCTCTGAAGCTGGATTCGGAAGACAGTCGACCGGCAGACCAGGACTTGTCTTGTCCGGGTGCCTCCTCCTGCGTTGCTGCTGTCTTGGCATACTCTTTGGCTTTCGCAAGGGCCTCCTTCTCCTGGCGTTCAGAAGTCGACGAGCACACTGTCAAAGCGCTAGTCTAGCCGCTTCTTGTCACGACGAGTGATGGATGCAAGGGCGCCAGCACACTCACAGTCAAAGCCGCCGCCTCGGCGGACATCCCGAGGATTTACCCTGAGCTGAGTTGCTTTAACGATACTGCTGCGACTTTGACAGCTCGCTGTAGGTGCAAGAATACGACAAGCCCTAAGCAGTCGCAGCCACGTTCTCTAGACTCTAGAAGGCATGAGTAGAAGCGAGGACCGGGAGAGAGAAGCAGAGAGACGCAGTGGTTCCTGCCACGAGTACAGGCTCTGGGGACGGGACCCAGAGTCCAGCCGGGAAGCTGTCGACTGGCGGGGAACCCGACTGAATGTCAAGGATGTAAAACGGCGGCAAAAAACCCGTCGCAATGGCGAATGGATGCGAATGGGTCATCTGGCTCCTCTGGGCAGCATGGAGGGACTACACCCGTTTGGCAGCATGCTCGTGCACTCCGTAAACTTGTGCCGCTTGAGCTTGCCGACCCAAGACCCAACCACATGCCAGAAAGGGAGGGTGCAACGAAGAAAAGGGAGTTTTGCCTAAAAGCCGAGCAGAACGAGGAGAAAGGAAACCTCGAACGCTAGCCTTCCGAAGACCGATCCCAGTTGAAGGCAAAGCAAAACTACAGTAACAACATTTAGAAGACCATTGCTGAATCGTGGCTTGGGAAACAACCTGCAATCTAAGCTGGGCGTGCTGATGTCTGTTTTCGCGCCGCAAGTTGGATCCGCTGGGCCCGGCGCATCGCTTCAACGCGACTCACATTCGCCCAAAGTCTGAGAGAAGGTGGTCCGTCACCTAAAGAAGCCTACACAGCACAAAACGCATAGGGGACCCTCTGGCATGTCATTTCCAGATATTGGGTTCATAATCTTCGCAGCTCATCACTTCATGGCGTCAGCACTTGCCTTTGTGACTGTCGGGAACTTTGCACATGCCACCACTCAACACCCTTGCGCCCTGCTCAGCTGATCTCTCCAAGCTCTTTCTCCTCAACTGTTTTGTCCTGTCCGGGCAAAGAGATCATCAGGCCTCTCTTAAATATGTGAAGGTCCTCCACCACCTCAATTCGCCATTTCGGCTCTGCCTGCGCATACACCGAATAATTAACTGTTAGCAATATGGGTCTAAGCAACATGAACCTCACCATTCAGGGCCAGCGTGGCTGCATCATGTGAAGCTGGTCTGAAGAACACCTGCTCCGCGTTGGCCTCAGCGACGCTATAGTGCCAGTGCTGAACTTCCGAAAAGCAAAATCTCAGCCCCTCGCCTGGCTAGGCAAACGCTGCGCGGGTGGGTCTGCATGCTTCTGCCTCAGTGTTGGAGCTGCACCGGCATCAGGCCTCAGATGGACAACGCAGGAAGGGGCTTTCAACACACGCCGATTCAGCCTTCTACCCAGTGGTTCGTGCACATGCTTGCAAGCACGCCTCTCATCAGCCGAGCCGCCCTGGACTTGGCTGAGACGGCTGAGAACCGTCGGACACCTCAACTCATCACTCGGCAAGCGAGTTTCCATAGGGTGTGCGCCCCACCCGTTCCACTGGCGTAATTGTGTCTTGTTCTTTATATGCTGCTTGGCAGGCTCACAAGTGACCTCTCACGTACGACAAGTGGTGTTGTCTTCTCTCGCATGGAAACAACCGGAATTGCACTGCTACACTGCGATTGTCAACTGCATGTCTACAGGTGCACAGAATCTTGTGGAATCTGTTCCAAACGCAATGCATTGCCACACAGGTCTCCATACTTCTGGTCACGAGAGGCACACCGGCAATCACCGGCACATGCTGCAAAATCACACTAAGGTCCACACACCTCCTGGTCGTGTCTCGCTTGCCGTCGGCATAGCCTCTAGAGAACCACTACCAACAACGGATGATTAATGAAGCCATTTCTAGCTGCATGTCATGCTCTCCTTTCTATCAGCAACAAATAGACTCAATAGACTTCACTGACACACTCCGGGCACATCCTGTCATGCTATGTGGCCATGTTCTGCAACTTCTTTTGTTATCGCACACCGCAGCTCTGAACACGCTGTGAGAGTTCCATGCAATCTGCCAGCCCACAAGAAGTTGGAGTCGTGTGCAGCTCCCACATCACTTGGCTAGCGTTACACGCAACATGGCTCCAACCTGGGCATGGCATTCCGAGCTCCAGTGCTTGCAAGACGCCAGTCATCGAAGCTCGTTAGAACTTTGTGTTTGTGTTTGCGCCCCGTGCGCAACGCAGCTGTACAAGGCAACTGTGGCAGCACTGGGGTAGGGCTTTGGGCTGACGGGCCTGGGTTCAAGGGGGTTTCACAGCGTGGCCAAAATCTGGAAGAAAGTCTCGCTGCCCGCTAAAGCTGCCCTCAGCTTGGCATTTCCTCGGATGGAGCTTCCAATGACGGATGTCATGCCTCTCTTGATGCACCAGACTCGGGTAGTTCCTGACGTATCTTCATAACAACCAAATGCAGAAACAAAGGCACTCCAGCAACCACTCTTGCTATCCCATACCTTCAAGATGCTGCTGTGAGTCTTTCATGCCCGGGCAGGCCCTTCCAGCCAGGAATGTGCTGCTCCAGTCGGTCCTGCACGCTTCGATGCCCAGAGGTATTCTGACAGCCAAAGCGCTTCCCAGAGCAAAAATCACAAAGATGTCGAGGCGCGAGGTGGCCACACTTGCTAGCTGCTAGCCGAAAACCGGACGGATCCTGTGTAAATAACAGGACGTGAGTGCAGAATATGCGCCGCACCACCGCGGTCATGCGAATCAAGAGCAGTTCAAGTAACATTTCAACGCACTGTTTGGGGAACCATACCCTGTCTTAGCCTTTCGACCCAGAAGCTCGACAGACGCGCCTGAACAGCTGGCTCCTCCCACATTGGGGCGAAGTAGTCCGATTTGCCAGCCAAAGCCTCCTTGATCATCCCCTGTGCTCTGCAGAGACGAACAGTGACTTTATTTCTGGCCCTGCTCGCTTGTGCCAGACCGCATATGCACATGTACACGTGTTCAACATCTGGATCTGACGATTGGGTAGTTCACATGCTGATTACCAGTACCACAGTTTGAAATCTTGAGTTCAGGCTGCCATGCCTACTGCCAGGCATGCCGGCCAGCGCGCATACGCAGAGCTCACAAAGACAGAGACACAGACAGAACATCATTTCAGCTTAATGATATGTAGGTTTTGCACAGCAAAAACAGGTACAGCTGCCATTCTGGTGCAGATCTGAGCCTGCATGCTGAAGAGGAAGTCGTGCTGTACGGCAAAGTTCAGCAGCTTCTTCGCTCTGCACGTGTCCGCCAGAGTACCGAGGAGGTCGTTCCTCCGAGCTGCTACATGTTCCTGGTTTGCCGACACCAGATTCGCGACCTCCTTGACAGAGTGCTTCTCACCGGAGCCGATGTTGATAGACGTCCCATGAACGTCACCCTGATAACCCAGTATCAACGCTCGTGCGACGTCTTTCACATGAACAAAATCGCGAAAATTTCGTCCGTCACCTTCTATCACCAAAGGCAGTCCTTTCTTCAGGCGGTCGATAAACTTCCCAGTTACAATGGCATATGCACCATGGGCAGGATTCCGTGGTCCATAGACCATGAAGAAGCGGAGGGACAAGGTCGGCAGCTTGTAAAGCTCGTCGTTGGTGAGCATGACCAACTCGCCCATATACTTTGAAGCTGCATATGGGGAGGTAGGCATGAATGGGTCCGTCTCCGCGAACGGCACGCCCTGGTTGCCGTAGTATGTAGAAGATGCTGCATACACGACTTTGCGCACCATCATGGTTTCGTTAGCTGCCTGACGATGTGACACTCTGCGCAAGTTCAGGCTTGCAAGCCTGCATGCCGCAACACCTTTTACGTAAAACATGTACACTACATACTGGCAGCCACCGAACTCGACTGTTTCGGGAGATTCCTCCTTGCCTCTAGCACCCGGCTCGTTCCAACGGAGTTGCGCTCGACGTTAAAGGTCCCCATGGCAGGGTTCCTTGGTGCACTGGGCCATACTGGGCCGCTGGGCCCCGGAGCTAAGCTAAGAAGTTTCAACCGCTCTGGGACCGTTAATTCAGCAAAGACTCTTCAGAGACGGCAGGACCTTGCTGGCTGCACCCAAGTGGAAAACACCACGTACATCCACCATGGCTCTCCTGCCAACTTCACACGTTTGTTGTTGTGAGGTCGATCGACTCTTTTGATCTTCATGGCTTTTGCTGTGCAGCAGAAGCATCGACACCGCAAACTAGTTGTTCAAGCCCTCGCCGCACCTTAGAGCCTCGATGTCGAGGATGTCTCCCAAAACAAACTGGAGGCGCGGGTGGCGGAGGTCCAGGAATTGGAGATTTCCAGTTTCCAGGTTGTCGAAGACACGCACGCGGTATCCCAGCTCCAGTAGCTGCTCGACGAGGTGGCTTCCAATGAAGCCTGCAGTTTACGCAAGTTACTTGCCTGCAATTCTCAGATGCAGGCTCGACTCTTTCGGCGATGCAGCGGACGCAGGAAGTACTGAGGTAAGCTGGGAGCCTGATCCACCAGTCACTAGAACCAGCTCTCGGTTCGCAGGCTTCGGAGTACCGAGTTTGGCATCCACACGGAGCGAGGCGCAGGGATCGACCCCCAGTTTGGCATCGGGCACTGTCGGGAAGAGATATCCTGGCCTGGCAACTTTCACGCAGAAAGCATGTCGGTTCTCCACTGAGCTAGACTAACAGAAATCGCAAGCACTAAGCTGGTTCCAGAAGGCCGCGGCACTGAAAATCTGGAAGCCTTCCGCTCCCAAGGACCTTAGAATCCAGAAACATCTGCAATCAACTGTGATAAAGCCCGAGAAGTTCAATCGAACTTGCCTAAACATTTAAATCCATCATGCAAAGCACCATGAGCATCACCCACAGCCCGGCCAGCGCGATGCCGAAGACCCACTTCCAAGAACCTGCGTGCACCTGAGATGCTTCGCTATACTTCGGCTGCAGATGCCACTGCTGCTCCTACTGCTGCTGCTGCTACTACTACTACTACTACTACTACGACTACTACTACCACTTCTACCACCACCACCACCACCACGACGACGACGACGACGACTACTACTACTACCACAACTACTACAACAACAACTACTACAACTACAACTACAACTACTACTACTACTACTACTACGACGACGACGACTACGACTACGACGACTACTACTACTACTACGACGACGACGACGACTACGAGTAGGACTACGCCCACGACTGCGACTACGACTACGACTGCGACTACGACGACGACTACTACTACTGCTACTGCTACTGCTACTACTACGACCGCTACTGCAACTACTGCTCCTACTACTACTACTACTACTACGACGACGACGACGACTCCTACGACTACTACTTCTACTGCCACTGCTACTGCTGCTGATACTACTTCTACTGCTACTGCTACTGCTACTGATACTACCACTACTACTACTACTGCTGCTGCTGCTGCTGCTACTACTGCTGCTGCTACTACTGCTGCTGCTGCTCCTACTACTACTACTACTACTACTACTGCTGTTCCTGCTGCTGCTGCTGCTGCTGCTGCTACTAATTACTGCTACTACTACTACTACTACTACTACTCCTGCTGCTGCTGCTGCTGCTACTACTACTACTACTACTACTACTGCTACCACCAGTGCTGCTCTTGTAAGCATTATTGCTGCGAGTAAGCTGCTAGTAGTTGCCGCCACTTGACTTATGAACCTTTGACTTACTGGTACGACAGTTGCCTTTTGGTCAGGAATTTTGATACCGAGAGGCCAATTGCCGCAATTGCGGAGAACAGCAGTGTCCACCAACCGCACACTGCGGCAATGCTAAATGGAAGAATGCCGAGAAAAACGAGCGTGAGCCATTTCCTGACGCGTTCTTATGTTGATGGAACAGGTGTATGAAGCGGGCTAGGTTCATGCCAGCAGCAGAATCCTCACCCCGTCTCGGCCACAGAAACCGTCACATTACCCAGTACAGTGCGTGGTTCGGGATTGAGATTGTTATTCTCGAAGCCCAGGCGCACGACCTGGCAGTAGGGAAATGGGAATTGGGTCTTGTCGATCTTGTCCATATTCCAGAAGCAGGAGCCCACGGCAGCCAGCTGCGTTAGCAAACCATTCATGATTGGTGCTTCTGTTGCCTGAGCAGCAGGTGCAAACTGTCTCGTCAAGCCGGTGGCAACTAGATTCCTAGATGATACAGTCGACTGTCAGTTACGCAAACAGGAACCAAATGCAAAAAGTAATTGCATCATTTCTGAAGCCAATTGCCTTGTGGTCCATGATCTTGCGCAGCGAGAGCGTGACCCAAAACAGAATAATCGATGGTCGAGTGGTGTCATGAGGGGAAGCCGAGCCTGATACACTCTTGTGATCTCCTGGATACAGAATGGACCATTCTGTATCACCTGCCAATGCTGCCACATCCTGTCGCAGTCTGTCCATCTGTTCTGAACTGGTGGTGGCATTCTTGCCAGTGCGCTGGAAGAACTCACGAACCGCTAGGGAGTAGAGAGCCAGCAGCCGTATCACCCTTTTGGCGTGCACTTGAACCTCTGCATCGACCTCCCAAGTAACCATACCACAGATGGTCATCGAAATACTGCGCAGTAAGTGGCACATCATGGTAAGGTCAGAGATTGCTTCCCAGAACTGCTTGTTTGCCTCCTGCCTGCTCATGGGGCTTTGGGCTTTCGGTTTAATCTTCAGGAGAGAGGTTTTCTAGAAAGGGTCATTTTTAGGGCTTATTATGACTAATAACCCACGGTTTCAATAGGGGCCTTCATAATCATTGCAAAAGGGCTTTGGAGTCAGAGTTTAGAGTGGGGGCCGAGGACAGCGACGGAATGTCGCATTCAAAGTCGCTTCTCAGGTATAATGTACTATAATATCTATAATTATACTATAATTATACTATAATTATACTAAAATATACTACAATAATACTATAATAAACTAGGGTCAGTGTGCCGCAACGATGCTCAGACGAAGGACCTAGCACCCTCGGCGCCCCTCAACCCCAAGGCTACCAATCTCGAACCGACGGCGCAACATGACATTCCTACCGAAACCCTAAACCCTAAATCCCGAAACCCTAAACCCTAAACTCGAAACCCTAAACTCTAAACCCTAAGCCTTAAACCCTAAACCCTGAACCCTATACCCTGAACCCTATACCCTAAACCCTGAAACCCTGAACCCCGGGGTCTCTCCGAACAGGCGCCAAGCTGCGTCTTCAGGACGAGCAGGAAAGACAACCTTGGCTTCTTCCAGGGCTCTTCATCAGAACCCCCGTGGGCCCAATACCCCTTAAATTAGGGAATATACCTTAAATTATAGGGGCCTTAATATTATGACTTAAGGTATATTCCTTAATTAAGGGGTATTGGGCCCTCTGGGAAACCCTCAAAAGTAGGGGCCCTGTAGCCTTATACTATGAAGCCCTATATGGTATATGAACCTTAGACCCTTTTAGGGTTCATCTCGTCCTTAAGGGCTCTTCATCACAACCCCCATGGAGTTGCAGGGGGAAGGGCGGTTTGGAGCTTTGGAGGTTCAGGGTTTAGGGTTTAGGGCCTAGGGCTTAGGGGAGTATCCCAACATGCCACCTTGTAACCCTAAGCCCTGATTGATCACCAAACCACAAACTCTTAAATCTTCCGAGCTTGAGTGCTAAACTCCTACATACGCAGTCATAAAGACCATGAAGCCCATACAGCGCACTCATAACACCAAGCCTGAAGCCCTGATAAGACCTTCGTTAACATTGGCAGAACCACCTGAAACCCGACGTTGCTGTATGTAAACCCCGCTTATAACAACCGTAAACTTAAACAGGCCATTTAATGACCGCCAATCAGTACCCTAAGCCTAAACCCTAAAACCCTAAACCGAATCATCTCATTCAGAGTAGCAGGATGGCCAAAGGTGCCGTTCCTGACCTCGCTGCCTTGCGCTGCTCGCAGGAGCACTTCAGAGCTTGTGTTCTTAAGGGCTTACCGATAGGCTCCTAAGTAGCTCCTTTTCAGGATTACCTTGTAGGATTCTACATAAACCACAAAAAAGAACTACTTAGGAGCCTGTGGGTAGGAAGGGTTTAGGGTTTGGGGTTTAGGGATCTTTCCTCGAATCTTCCTGCGTCTGCGGGTTTAGGGGTGTAGGGCTGTAGGGGTATGGGGATCAGGATTTATTTTAATTCCGGCTTCAGGGTTCAGAGCCTTGTCTTGCGGTGCGACCTCAAACCTTGCACGCGAACCCTGAACTGAAGGGCATTTTAGGGTTTAGGGTTCAGGGTTTAGACTGCTCCGGAAGCCTCAGAGGAATATCCTCTCAAACCCAACATAAGAGCAGAGAAATGAACGATGCCGGAAATCGCTCCCAAGCTTTGTAGCGCAGAGCTCAGGCACAGGCGATTCTCAATGAGTCTGTCGAGCACTGTGGAGGGTCGGGTGGTTGAGGATTACGGCCGGACTTGCACAACCGACGCCGTAATGTAGGAGCCTCAATAATTAGAATAAGGTTTCGGGCTCCTTTCTAGTAGTAATATTATAATAAGGAACCCTAAGGAACCCAAAAATGTTGAACCGCAAACTCCTGGATTGAGCTCCCTGCACAGCAGAAGCCCGGCTACCTACACAGTGGTAGTTCTACCATGTTCAGGGTTTAGGGTTTAGGTTTTAGGCTTTAGGGTTTTGGCTATACAAGGACCATCACCGACAGTCTTGGATAGGCTTCCAGGGCACACAAAAACCTTAAGCTCAAAAGGCGCCGCACCTGAACATCTATTCCTTACCGTAGCCACCCGACAACCTACAATTTTGGGGCTTCCTTAAATACAGTTTTTCCTATTATTGGTCCCCCAAAAGGTAGGGTTATTTGGGCTAAGCTAAACCTTATTATCCCCAAATCCTGCCAAATAACAATCATGCAAGCATATGAACGCTCGTCACTATTAGACATACTCTTACGAGCCACTGGATCTGGGAGCAGTGTGCTCCTGGGTATTGGGCTTTCATCTAGGTGAAATAATAAGTTCACCTAAACGCTAAACCCCTAAACGCTACACCCTAAACCCTAAACTCCTACACCCTTAACCCTAAACTCCTCGACCCTAAACTCCTAAACCCTAAATCACTTACACCCAGACGGTGCCTCACCAAAGCTTGGATCCTCGTCTGCCCTGAGCCAGGCAGGTGGCTAGACTCAGAAAACAGGGTACTTGTTTTTTTGGGGGGGGCATATAGGGTTTAGGGTTTAGGGGGTTACTAGTACTTGTAGCGCTTCAAAGCAAGATCCCTACTTTTTTGCGATAACTGCCTTGTGCAGTAAGGGTTTTTATCACGGAGTCTTGCCAACTTAACACCCCAAAATATACACACTCATCATTTTCCTGAGAAGCCGGTTTCAGGATTTTTGTCCGGGTCGCACATAGACAGCGAGCACCGACAGGCCCTCCATGAGCAAAAGTTGTGGAATGAGGCTCGGAACGATGGACCCACCTTAGCTCGGGCGTCCGTCATCCAAGAACCCAAAGGGTCCTAAGTACCTGTAAATTTGTGTATAAGGGTTCCTATAAGAAAGGGCTCGTTTCAGGGCTCCTATATGGTTGAATATAGGGCTTCTATCATAGGAATTACTAGTATGGTTCGGGCTAGTACTCCCCGTGTGTGTGCCTAGGGCCCTGTAGGGAACCGTAAACTAGAGGCACCATGCTTTAAGAAACACAGCTGTTTGCACAAGCAACTATAAACCCTGACAACACCCCTCTAAGCCTCTCTAAGCGAACATTTTACACATCACTACACCCATAAAAAATCTTACGGAACAATTATGAGCCTTAGTTTCTGACGCAGATCTCAGTTCTCCAGGGCAGGAAAAGAAGGGTTTGAGGTGCTAAGGCACTTTAGCTATTTTTGGGTTTAGGGTATAGCTCGGGGCTTGTTTAGGGCTTCGCTGCGTCGTTTGCAGTATTTCCGTGCTTTGGGTTGCTTTAACTGTGCTTGCTTTAAGGATTTCAGGTAGTTAACGGTTTGGGGTCGTTTTTAATCTTAGGCTATTAGGGCTTTATGTGCAGCTTTGGTTAGTCTAGGACTTTGTCTCAGGATGCTTTCGCAGGCAAGAGCGAGAAATGGAGGCATGTTTAAAGATGTTAAATGCAAATATTCAATTATTTGTATAATTCTGTGTATCAGTCCTCGTCGTCGTCGTGGTCGTGGTGGTGGTGGTGGTGGTGGTGGTAGTAGTAGTAGCAGAAATAGTAGTCGTAGTAGTAGGAGCTCAAAGCTTAAGACCCAGGGTTTTTTTGGTGTCGGATCTAAGGTTCGGGGCCTGGGGTGGTTCTTAAGGCTTATGGGCTTTGGGCTTGGGGTTTCGGGTTTTGGGGTTTAGGGGTTTCGGATTTAGGGTTTAGGGCCTTTAAGGCTTCTGGGCTTTGGGTTTAGGGCTCTGGGCTTGGGCTACAGGCATGATGCCATCCGAGATGCGAACCTTAAACAGAAGGAAGGGTGTGATTGTAAAGAAGCTCCATGTGCTCCCCTCGGCGCCCGAGTCATAGACCACGACCATTTCCGCAGAGGAAGCTCAAACAACCCTACAGACTGCCATGGGTTTAGGGCTCCGGGGTTTGGGGTTTAGGGCCAGTTTAGGGTTCAGGCTTGAAACTTAGGGGTCCGACGTTGAGATAAGTTGTGTACTGTACCACGACGCTGACCGGATTGAAGACTACACTCTACACAGTTCCCTCCAAGGGCTGCGCATCCACGAAACACAGACGCATGTCTCTTCCTAGACACGCAGCTTCCTGCAATGCTATGCTTGTGCATTTGCTTTCCCAAGTAAAGGGTCCTATGTACCTATATAGTAGAATGTAGGCCCTATAAGCCCGCCCTAAACTTAGTGTTAGGGTTTTGGGTTCAGGGCTTTGGGTTTAGGGTTATAGGGTCTAGGGTTGAGGGCCTAGGGTTTTGGGTTTAGGGTCGAAAGGTTCAGGCCGTGGGGTTTACAAGCTGATGGTTTGCGAAGTTGGTTCCTAAAGTGCGAGGCTTCTCGCAGGGCTCCATTGAGGCTTGGTTCCCCAGTAAGCCCCTAATAATAAGGGTACCCTTTTTCCTAATATTCGGCTTTAATAAGGAGACTCCCAAATCAAAAGGGCAAAAGGGTACTGCTCGGGCAGCTAGGAGGGTTCTGCGCGGGTCTTATGGGGTTTAGGCTTCATGTCGGGGTCCACGCGAGGGCTCACATTTTAAGTTGTAGGGTTTAGGGTCCAGATATTCATCCGTGTGCCCTTTCTAACCCTGAACCCTAAACCCTAGTTAGAGCCATGTTATGATTCAGGCATACCTTCTAGACCCTGAACCCCGAGCACTGCAAAGCTTCTCAGCCACCCGGCCACTCGACCCTACACCCTTAAAACCCTAAACCCTGAACCCTAAACCCTATACACCCTGATCCCGGCCGCCTTTCCATCTCCATTAACAGCTGTCGTTCGGCCTTTTCAACTCCGCATCTGCGGAGAGAGCGGAGCCCAAAGGGCAGGAGGACCATGAGAGTTTCGGGTTTAGGGTTTAGGGTTTGGGGTTAAGTCTCAAATACCCGAATGCCCGAAACCTTAAATCCCAAACCGATAAATTACGGGGCACAGTGCTTCCCTTCGATGTTGGGTGCGTCCGTCCTTGCGCTCC